GTGCATGTGTGTCAAGGACAGAAAGGCAGATGTGGCAGTGGAAGGTGTCAAAGCAGTTTGGAAAGAAAAACAAAGTAAAGAACAAAAAAAAAAAGAAAACGATTAATCGATTATTAAATTAGTCATCGATTATTTTAATAATCGATTAGTCGTCGATTAATCGATTAATCGTGGCAGCCCTAGTCGTCATTTGTTTCTTTTATTAACACTTCTTTGTACAACTTGGAAGGATTTAGTGTTAGCTTTGTACACTGTCAGTGTTGTTGTGTTTGTTTTATAAGAACATGTCCACACTAATTCATCTATGGAAGAATTAAAACAACACCTGAAATAAATTTAGCCCCTTTAACACAAGATGAAAGCTAAAAATTTTATTCCATATTGTAATAGTTTTAGGGGTTTCCATGTTTTACAGACTCCAGACTTTTCTTTGTTAAATCTGTAGTTTGGGTTTCCTGAGCTCTCCCTTTGTTCTGCTGCTACAGGCTCAAACTGCTGATTTTTGTAGTGAATTGGTGCCGTTTAAACAAAATAAATGATGATAAAAGTTTAAATCTATCAAATCCTTTCAACCTCGAAGCTGCTAACAGCTGTCAGTCTTCCTGTGACCTACAAAGTAAAAAAAAAGTGAGCAGTATGTAAACAAAGTCAGGAAGTGGTGAAGACGGGGTTACAGTGCGCTGCCAGGTGTTGCACATATTGCTCCTCCTGCTGCCTCGACACACTACCTGCTGCAGAGTTCTCCAGGATCTCAGCTCTGTAGCTGGGCTTTGTGAAGATCGGCCTGTTGTCGTTCTCGTCCAGGATGGTGACCACCAGGAAGTCTGAGTCCTGAGGGGACAGAGACACATGATGATTAGAGGCCCGGTTGACCCAACAAAGCTGGGCTCCAGGTCCGATCAGATTGGAGTGAAGGTAGAGGTTAGCAGGGCTGTGAGGCTGCAGCCTGATGCAGCTGAAGCTAACAGCAGCTCCTGCAGCTCTGTGCACAACTCTCTGTGGTTAACGTTTGCAGATTAGAGCAACAACAGTTTCTCTTCTGTCCCACGCACGGTTTAATGTTCTACTTTTAAACTTCAGCAGCTGCAAWGATTTATTTACAATTAGTCTGCAATCAAACGTTATTGTGTTACTGTAAAATAAACATAATAAAAAAGATTTCTGAAATTAAATTTTAATAGGACAAGTTTTATTTTTAATACTTTTGGCCCAATCTGTTCTTGTTTCTAACAGAATGTTAAAATCAGACATGATTGTTTTTCACTTTAATGTAGAAAAAGTATTTTATTTATTCGTATATCTGCAGCAATGACTTGGTTTTTCTGAGGTAAGTAATATATATTTTTATACACCACATTTAGTTTTTCTTACAAATTTAAAAAAACTGATGAGTATTCTAAAAACTTAATTTTTTAAAATACAAAACAGTCTGCTACTTCCTTTGTAAGTACAAAGTATGTACATATTAACAAGTACATATATGTTTCTCATGGCAAGTGTTTAGAAGTTATGTACCTGGAATGTACCTGCTACTTACGTACCAGTACATACCTGGTTCCTATCAAGAACTTAAAGGATATGTACTTGATAGGTACTGGGTAGGTATTGCATACTTATAGGTTACTTGTGTATATAATGGTAAGTACTAGGTAGGTGCCTGGTACTTATGGGATACAAACCAATTATTTAAAAAGGAACATACCTGGTAATATAGCTTGGCCCTATATACTATATCAGGTACATATTGAGTAGGTATCTCATACATACAGGTTACTTGTATATTATGTATATAACTGGGAATCACTGGGTATGTGTCTGGTACTTAAGTGGATACAATCCAGCCATTTACAAGGGTATATATCTGGTACTTACCAGGTACATACCTGGTGCTTAACTGGTAATACAGCTTGGTACTCATAGGAACCCTACCATGTATGCACCCTAAAAGCCCAAGGTATGTACCTTGTAAGTATTAGGTAGGTATCTCATACTTATTGGTTACTTGTGTACTAGGTACATAACTGGTAAGTACTGGGAATGTGCTTGGTACTTATGAGATACATACCAAGTACTTAAAAAAAGATATGTACCTGGTAATACAGCTTGGTCCTCAAAGGAATTATACCAGGTACTCACCCTATAAAGACCCTATAAATATCAGGTACATACCCTGTAARTACTGGGTTGTATTATATTTTGCTACCTTGCAGGTTTCCACAGTTTTACCATAAATAATGAAGCAGAACATGTGATTGTTTGTCCGCAGACTGTGTGACGGTGCAGGAGTTACCCGTCGAGCGTTGCGGGGGTTCTCCGGGTTGTCTTTAACGGTGATGGTGAGGACGTACTCAGACACTCGCTCTCTGTCCAGAGGTCTGTTCACCTGCACCACACCTGTCTGAGAGTCACAGGGGGAGGAGTTATCGTTAGGAAGAAACTCAACGTGTTCCACAGGAACGACGAGGCGTGAAGAAATAAAGAATATATGATCAAAGTGTTCAGGATCCATCAGGCTCATGTTGCCTGGAGGCAGAAGACCAGGAAGAAGAATTAAAGATTTGGATCTAATTCTGAAACATCTGATCTGTGGAGTTGTGGAGTTCTTTTTTAACTAACTAACTAACTAACTAACTAACTAACTAACTAACTAACTAACTAACTAACTAACTAACTAACT